GGGAAACGGACTTTTCGTCTCAACTTTTTATTACGAACTCCAGGTAAAAAAGTCTGTTACGATCTTCGGACATAAGAAAAAAGACAGGATGTTCGGAATGAAGTTCGTAATGAAAAAGTCAATAAAATACAGGATGTTCGTAATGACATGTGGTCAGGAGTTCGTAATGACGTTTTTTTGTGAAAAAACAACAAAATTTTACCGGACGATCGGAATAAAAATGTGCAAGAGTTCGTAATGACAAATACATGAAGGTCGTAATAAAAACTACAGGGTGTTCGGAATGAAAAGGGCCGGATGTTCGTAAGCATATTGAGATTTACTTTTGAGAGAATGTGAAGTGTCACACTGCTCTTACAGTCTAAGATGATGGATAAAGAACGTCTTGATGAACTGAAGCAGTCAAGAATGCTGTGCTTTTTACTTTTGTAATTTTCGTTTTAGTTAGTCTCACTAATTCCTGACATGTTTTCGCTTAAGAATATCAAGTTTTTGTAAAGAAAAGAAAGAAATTTTATTCATAAATCTAGTGTGAATAAACATCATATCATCATGTTTTCTTCCTCTAACAGAAAAAAATAAGTACAACAAACACTTTTAACAAAATACAACACTACATCTGACTTTTTCTTATTTAATAATATCAGTACAATATGTTTTTCTTCTACATAGAAAAAGAATAAATTACAACTGGAGAAGTAGACAGACATAGAATAAAGTAATATAATAAACAAAAAGAAAGAACAAATGTAATAAGACCTAGATATTAAACAAAAAAAAAGAACACACACTTTTATTTAGATTTATAAATTTAATGTTTATTTTTTCTTACGTTTATTTTTTGCACAACAATTTGTACGTTTAACTGGTTTAGCATCAGCTGAAGTAGTAGGACTGAAAATAGGAAAAGACAAGAAATAATAGTAGTATCTTTATTCGAAATAAAACACATACACATGTAAAATAGGTGTATCATCATCATTATCTTCATTTTCCGATGAATGTCCACGTTTTTTGGCACTAACAGTTTGTTTTTTATTCGATCTTGTAACAATCAGAACAGGTTTAGTTGATGATGTGGAGGACGACGACGAAGCAATAGCATTACGATCATTAGATTTAATTCTAAGACGATTCAATATTGGAGTTGAACGTGAATAAGATATAGGAGCAGGCTTTTTAGTCGTTGTTTTTGACAATTGTTGTTGTTGTTTTTTAATTAATTTATTATTTGTTTGTTTTTTTGGTGGTGGAGATTGAGAACGTTCAACCGATGATGATTGTGAACGAGAAGTACTTTTTTCATCAGGTGATGATGATAACGTCGTTGAGGATAACGACAAAACTTGTTTTTGTGCATATGATTGACGTGTTGATAGTGATGGTGAAGAGGAAACTGTCGATGTTACTTCAATTTCTTTCGAACATTTTTGTATTTGTGGTTGTCGTGCTTCTAATTTTGTTACATCATAATCTCCTTTAGAGTTTTCTCTTGCTGCTGCAGCATTATTATTCAATAATCGAGATATAAATTCACATCGTTCACGAACAATTAAATATCTCGAATTTTGTACAAATTGAAGATAATCAGCAACTATTGGCAATGTTGCTTGTTGTTTTAAATAATTCAATCCATATTTAAGTAATAATTCAACTTCATCTTTATTTGTATAAATACGATAATAACCTTAAAATAGAAGAAGAAAAAAGAATATAGAAAGCATATTTAGCTTACTCATTACAGCTTTCTCTCAATTCATAATGAATTTCACATAATAAAATAATAAACAACAGACTTACCTAAGTTTCTTCCTTTGGTAATTTTAGCATATAAATTAAATTCATCTAAGTTTGATTCTTTTACAAGATAATAACGACGTGATGAATCAATTTGTCGTCCATTAGATTTTTTATATAAAGTTCCATGATCAATACCATCTTGTGTTGGTCTATTATTTACATCCTGCATGAATTTTATTAAATTTTCTAATAATATTTCAGATGCTATTCCAGGATAAACTTTTTGATAACAATCATCATTTAATGCTCCTTGAACTAATTCATCTAAAAATGAAAGAAAAGAAAAAACAAACGTTATTTTTGTTTATTATACATCCTTCTATAATTCTTGAAACTTACCATAACTTGTATAATCTCCATCGCTTTTAAAATAAATATTCCAAAATGTTATTAATCCCATTTTACGATTAAACAACAAACAATATCAATTTCAATAAACGATAAACAACAAATAATATCAATTCCAATAAATGATAAACAACAAATAATATCAATTCCAATAAATGATAAACAACAAATAATATCAATTCGAGATATTCCAAAGAATTGTTGATATATCTGAAATTGAAAAAAAAGAAAGAGACAAATAGACCAATAAAGAAATACAAGTCAAAAATAAATATATATTCAATTATCATGATCATCACCGCTATCATATTTTCTTCTTCTTTTATTTTTCTTTAATTGTTTACGCCATTGGTCGTATTTAACACCGACTAATGAGGAAATTAATTTAAGACAATCATCAAGTTCAATTTCATTATCTTCAAATTGTTGATTAAATTCAAAAATTTTTTGATTTATTTCAAGAACACGATTACGAATAGTTTTTCGAATAGACTTTTTTTTGCCATTTAACAGTTGAAAATATTTCATTCGTACAGCAGTTTCCTCTGTAATCAAAAGTTCTATTAACGTTCAAATAGATAAATGACTTTGTTGTGCTCGTCGTTTTAGTACTGCATTATAACCTAAAGTAATAAAAAAACATTTCTAACTATTTTTGTTCTCAAAAGGAACTTACTTTCAGACCAATTATTCGTTTTGAAAGCAACATCATAAAAACTAATCATTGCTCGATTTTCTAATTTTATCCATTGTTGTTGAAAGTAAAGCATAAATTTTGTTAATTGAACACGAAATTGTTTTAATTGCTTCAATTTTAAGTATTGATTGGCTAATAAATCATATGCACTATCAATTAATCGTGGTTTAAGTAATACAATAGCCATAATTTTTTTAATGAATAAATGTAATACATCATTATTCTTATAATGATACCATAAATCAAACTTCTTTATTTTTTTTGTTAATCTTTGATATAGATGAAATAAGCAACCTTGATGAATTGTATTTGGAAGCTAGAACAAAAAGAAAAAAATACATTCTCTGTGACTATCATCACCCTCAACAAACATTCACCTCTTTTTTTACAGTTGAAACAAATCCACTTTCATAATCACTTATGATTCTATTAGGTTCAAGTTTCATATTCATTTGTTTTGCTGCATTTTTTAATGCTCGAAATAATAATGTGTAAGTATAAGCTTTTTTACCATTTAAAAGAGCATAGAGTACAGGTGTTGCTTGGAATAAACAGAAAAGAAAAACATATAAAGAAGAAAATTATTCGACTGAAGTAAAGGAAGAACAAAACTTCTAGAGAGAAAACAAGTAAATAAATAAACATTTTCTTACCATCATACATTTCTTCATCAATAGTTTGAATAATTAATAACTGTTTATGTTTACGGGGACATATCGAAAATGTTCCATCAATACAAATTAATTTTGAACTAAACAAAATTTTTAGCTGCATTGGGCTCGCAAATGCTATGATTCTCTTAGTTTCTTTTGCATATAAACGATCAAAAAATATGAATTTTTCATTCGACGAAGTAGTTGCATATGCAGCTGAAATTTCAAAGTTAATAGATTTTGGAAGTGGTGGAATTCTTTTACTTCTGGCACGATAGACACTTTTATCTAAATGAAAAAAAACTAAATTAAAATAAGACTAGAATAAATGATTGACTAGCTTACATAATGTATCTGGATATGGAATCTTACCCAATTGTGTATCAGTTAATTTCATATCAGTTGCTAATTGATTAATTAACTTAGATGAAGGTACAGTTCGATTATTTGTTCCAATAAATTTTAATTGTGATTTAAATATTGCAATTTTTTGTTGATCATGATCTTCATCATGTGAATGTGGAACATTATTTGATTCAATATATTTATAAGCTGGTATTTCATCAGTTCCTACATTTTCTGTTGTATAAATTTTTGTTCCACATCTTATTTTTTTCCTACTCTGCTGACATTTCCATTTAATTTTGTTTATCATTCGTCGATCAATTTGATATATGTATCCGTGAAGACAGAGAAAATCACCACCTTTGCTACTTTTATAAACTGAAATAGGTCCAGCTTGAGGAAGGTGCATTGATTGTTGAGAGAAGGAGGTGCTAATCGATGAGAAAAAATTATTACTATTATTGATTTCTAGATTAGCTATATTTTCAATTATGGATGATATTGTTGTGGATTGAGGTGAATCAGAACCTGATGATGACGATGATATGGTACTTGAATCAGATGAAGAACACGAGGAATCAGTATAAGATGAAGATGATGAAGAACGAGAAGACCTGATAGAAGATGCAGATGAAGAATTAGATGACGATGAACGTGTACGTGTAATTGTTTTGCAATCACTGAAAATATAGAAAAATAAACAAACAAATCGTTTTGACTATTTTCTATTGGAAAATAGTGGACAAAAGCATAGAAGAACACTTACGTAAATGATATAGTTTTACTGACATTATTATTACGTAAGACTTTCTTAGGTAATTTTGAACGAGATCGATGAATAGGATTATGAGATGAAAGTGATGGTGTTCTTTTTGGCGTCGAACTTTGACTACGAGTGATAACCATTAAGAATATTTGAAATTAAAGTAAATGTAGATTCAAACAAGTAAAAAGATTCTATTCATTTGAATTCTTATCTAGAAATAAGAAATAACAGCAAAGTACATTTTCTTCTTTATGATAGAATATTTTTGGAGTCTATATCTATAATCTTCACTTCTTTATGAGAAGTTAGTCTGGTTTATCTTCAATACTGAATCGCTTGTATAGCCAATCATATCTGAGCGAAAATACTTTGATACATACACTATATAGTGTTTCATTTGTACAGAAGCTACTGCCATCTATCAATATTATGAATACATTAAGACGAAAGTTAGAAAAAACTTTTATAGTTACTAAAATATAGAGAACAGCGATAGAGAAAGAAAAATATCTCCTGATATAATTATGAATGTGCTAAGTAAATGAACGCTATTCTTATATAGAAAAACAGAAATAAAAGTCTTTATATCCGTTACGATCTCCCAGTGTATCTTTTTTACGAAGTTCCGGTCAATGTTATTCCGATCATCCGGTTGTTTTTTTTGTAACATGCATTATTTCGAACATCTGACATTATTCATCACGATCTCCCGGTGTTATATCAGAT